TGGGGTCCCCGCTTGCTGAGCGGGCAGGGGTGCGGGCCGAGGGCTGGGCGGCCGCTGGGATGCAGACGGGGAAGCAGGGCCCCCCTTCGCTGGGCATCTTCCCCCAGCGGCCTGGCTCCCTCCTGTCTGGTCGCGATGGTGGGAGGCAGGGCAGCCTCCACGGTCCCCTGGAGGGAAAGGCCGCAGGGCCTGGAGCCAGCCCGCGAGAGCGAGGGGTCCCCGGTGTCTCCTGTACCCCTCCCAGCGGACTTCTGCTCACCATCACCGTCTCCCTCTCCCCTCAGCATCATCAGCTGGTTCGTCCGGTCCTTCAAGTACCTGTACGGCCTCCGCTTCGACGTGAAGGGCCGCCAGCGGCTGTGGGCGGACCGGCCCTGCGTCATCGTGTCCAACCACCAGAGCATCCTGGACATGATGGGTGGGCGCGGGGCTGCGGGCCTGGTCCCCCGGGGGGTGGGGCGGAGGCGGGCCCAGCGGAGCTGGCGGGGAGGGGCTGACGCAGGCCTCGAACTGGGGGACCCAGGACCCCCTCTCGCCCACAGCCGGGCGCTCTGTCCACCTCTCCCTTCCAGGCAGGAGGCCGGCTCGCGGCTAAATGAGCCGGTGGGCAGGCGAGACCCGAGGCGAGCCGGTGGGTGGTCCGGGCGCAGGGCCGCTCCCTGCTCCTTGGGGTGGCGGCCCCAAGTCTGAACCCCCCCCCCCTCCCTGTGACCACGCGACAGGCCTCATGGAGATCCTACCCCCACGCTGCGTGCAGATCGCCAAGCGGGAGCTGCTGTTCACGGGCTCCGTGGGCCTGATCATGTACCTGGGGGGCGTCTTCTTCATCAACCGGCAGCGCTCCAGCACCGCCATGAGCGTGATGGCCGATGTGGGCGAGCTCATGACCCGCGAGAACGTGAGTGGGGCCTGGGCCTGCGTGGGGCAGCGTCAGGCTGCGGGCGGGGCGGGGCAGGTGTGAGAGCAGCCCCACGGGGCAGCCCCCCTGGCGTAAAAGCCACGTCGGCAGCCCCGGCCTGTGCGGCTCAGGGGGTGAGTGTCGACCTGTGAACCAAGAGGTCAGGGTTCAATTCCCGGTCGGGGCACAGGCCTGGGCGGCGGGCTCCATCCCCAGTAGGGGGTGTGCAGGAGGCAGCCGGTCTATGATTCTCATCATTGATGTGTGTGTCTCTCTCTCCCTCTCCCTTCCTCTCTGAAATCAATAAAAATATATTAACAACAAATAAACAAACAAAACGCCCATCGTCGGTGCCTGTCTGCAATGCACGCAGGAAGGCAGGGAGCAGGGCTGTGCTGTTGGGGGTCCCCACCGCGCCGTGGGCTCCACAGGAGGGGGCCCCCCCCCCCCCCCCCGCCCCGCTTCCCACAGCTGCCTCCTTTGTCCCTGCAGCTCAAAGTGTGGATTTACCCCGAGGGCACGCGAAACGACAACGGGGACCTGCTGCCCTTTAAGAAAGGCGCCTTCTACCTGGCGGTCCAGGCCCAGGTGCGCAGGGACGCCCCCCCGCCCCCCGGGGCAGCGGGGGTGGGGGGGCGCAGAGCTGGGCTTGGTGGTGACTGCCAGGTTAGGCGGGAGCCTCTGGCGCTCGGGGACCCGCCTCCTGGGCCGGTGGCAGGGCCTCGCCACCCTCCTGGGCCCTGCCCTGATGCGGAGGGTGCTTTTCTGGGAGGGGCAGTTTGTCCCAGAGGTGCCCTGGATCGGGGCTGGGTCTCCGGGGGGGTGAGGCCCCACCCCTGCCCTGTGCTGGGGTTCACGTGGGGAAACGTTATCAGGGTCAGGGCGGCTATCCCCTGCCCACTGGGGTCAGGGTGTGGGTGGCGGCTTGTCTATCTTCCACCCGTGATGGGTGGCCCCTCGCGCCCCCTAGTGCTGGCCCTGAGCAAAGCCACCCCCTTTCCTGCCAACCCCCTCCCGCCGGCTAATGCCATGGGGGTGCAGACGCTGGCAGGTGGGTGGCGGAGCCCCAGGCTGGGGGCCGAGCCTAGACTGTGATCCCAGCTCCGTGTAAGCGAGGCTCTCCCACCCGCTGGGCCTGTGGCCCCCGAGCCAGGAGGTGGAGGGCACCCTGCCAGGTGCCTGGGGCTGATGTCACTTCCCTTAGCTGGTGGCATGGGGGAGGGGTTGTGGGAAAGGAGGTGGTGGTGCTGGGACGGGGGCAGCCACAGCCTCGGCCAGGGGGACGGGCATCATTTCCTGTCATCGCCCTCCACCTCCCCTCGGCCTGCTAGACGGTGGCTCCCTGGGTTCCCAGCCTGCCCCCCAGAGCTCCGCCGGTGCCCAGTGCGCGGGGAGAGGTGAGGGCTCCCCAACCGCAGGGTTAATGATTAGCCCAGGCGCCATTTCCGACACTGCAGGCACCGGTGGACTTGATCCTGGTGGTTTCTAGGAGCACCAGCCGGCCCTGCCCCCTCCCCTGCTGGTGCTGCCCCCCCTCCCCCACCTTCCTGGGATGGGGGGGGAAGTTGGGGAGGGTGGTCAGGGCCCTGTCCCCCTAGGAAATCTTAGGACCCAGTGGGGGACACAGATCTGAATCAGGTGGACATGTGCCAACCTAGGAAGGCTTCCCGGAGGCGGCAACACGTGGGCGAAGGAGTACAGAATGAGTTTATGGCCTGGGGTTCAGCGTGTGGCAGGGCTGAGACGGGACAGTGCGTGCCTGGCAGCCATGGGTGCTGTGGGCAACCCCGGGCGAGGTGGTAAGGCAGGCCCCCCGGGAGCTCGCCCTTGGGAAAGGGGATCGGCCCCTCTCAGGATGCTTGTCTCCCTGCGCACAGGTGCCCATCGTCCCCGTGGTGTACTCCAGCTTCTCTTCCTTCTACAACCCCAGGACGAAGCTCTTCACCTCAGGTAGCGCCTGTGCACGCGGCCTGTGCCCGCTGCGCCCGGGCCCCTCGCAGAGGACAGTTCCCACTGCCGGGGCTGCTGTGGGCCAGACCCTGCGGCACAGAGACCACTGGGGGCGGGGAGGGGCGGGGAGGGACGGGGGAGGGCGGAAGCTAGAATCTTGGCAGGGCCTGGGGTGCGTGGTCCTGGGCCATGTCCTAGTGAGGGAACCAAGGCCCCAGCAGGTGGGTTGGGTCCAAGTTCACATACACGGGCCCAGGCTGTGCACACAGCTCGGGCTCAGCGGGGACAGCTCCTGGCGGAGGGGGCTTCCGGGCCAGGCCCCACCCCCAGGGCAGCAGCCTCCAGGCACCCCCACACCACGGGCCTCAGAGCTGGGGGCCTCTGCCCTTCCCTCCAGACCCAGCGGTTCTCAACCTGTGGGTCGCGACCACTTTGGCGTTCGAACGACCCTTTCACAGGGGTCGCCTAAGACCGTCCTGCATATCAGATATTTACATGACGATTCATAACAGTAGCAACATGACAGTTATGAAGTAGCAACGAAAATAATTGTATGGTTGGGTCACAACATGAGGAACTGTATTTAAAGGGCCAGAAGGTTGAGAGCCGCTGCTCCAGACCCTGCACCTGGTCCCCAGGTGGGAAGGTGTGAAGGGCAGCGGGGGAGGACCCCGAGGATGGCATGGAACGGGTGGGCTGCCGGGGAGGGGCACGGGCACCTTCTGGGGGGAGGAGTTCTGAGCTGGGTGGTGCTGAGAGGAAGGCACACTTGCCCCGACCCTGGTGTGCACTCAGGAGCCAGCACGCCCGGGTCAGTTACTGTAGCTGCAAACCAGCCACCGACGGGGGGGCCGCAGGGCCGAGCGGCAGGGGGAGGGTTCGGCTGGCCCCGGGCCGAGGAGAGGCCGCCGCGGGAGCCGGGCCGCAGGGACGGTGGGCCGCCCCCCAGGCCGCTGACGCCCGCCCCGCCCGCAGGCACCATCAAGGTGGAGGTCCTGGACGCCATCCCCACCAGCGGCCTCACGGCGGGCGACATCCCCGAGCTCATGGACACCTGCCACCGCGCCATGCGCTCCGCCTTCCTGCGCCTGTCCAAGCCCCACCAGGAGAACGGGGCCGCCCCGGAGCCGGCCGCCCAGCCCGCCCAGTAACCGCGCCGCAGCCGCGGGACCGGGGGCAGAGGATGGACAGAGGGCCCGGGCCTGCCCCGTCGGGGCCGCCCAACACCCGCTCCCGCGTCCAGCCCTGCGGCCGGCGCTGTCCTTCGGCCCCGGCCTCAGGTCCCGGCTGCCGATGTCCCCGCAGGGTCGGCCGGGCCTCCCCCAAATCTGAGGGCAGGGCCCCCACACAGGGCCCGCGCGGCCGCCCCCGCCTGCATCAGGCTGGGGAGAGGCCGTGGGGAGCGAATACTGAGTCAGAACTGCAGGCGGCTTTTCTGTGTGGTTAATCCTCCCCAGGATATTCTTTCCATTGATTTTCAGAGAGTGGGAGGGGGGGCAGTGACAGAAACGGCGGCTGGTTGCCTCCCACACGCCCCCGACCCCCACACGCCCCCCGACCCGGGCTGCGAGGTGAGCCTGTAACCGAGGTGCCTGCCCTTGACCGGGAACCGAACCTGGGACTCGTCCATCCGAGGGCAGGCACGCTAACCATTGAACCACCAGCAGGGGTGCACAGGGTTGTTTTTATAAATGGACTCTTGCAAGTGCCTGGTGAGCTGTGGTCACTCGGAGGATGGGCAGGGCTGCCTCAGGGCCACAGGAGGGCCCAGCCGGGCGGCGCACGGGGTCTTCCAGGCTGCGGGCCTCCTCCCGGGGCCTGGGGTGGGAGCCCTTCAACCCCCCAACCTTCCAGGGCTGGGCCACAGTTGAAGGGGGCAGCGGCGCCCCGAGGCCTGGCAGGCACTGGGGAAGGAGGCTGAAGGTTGCTCTCTGGCCACTGGAGAGGGGTGGGCCACCTTGTCACCAGGAGGCAGCGTCTCTGGCCTGTGTCACTTTCCCAGAAGCCACTGCTCCAGCCCCTTTTGGAGGGGGACTGAGACCCTACCTGGGTGGGCCCAGTGGGCTGGAGCCCCCCCCGCCCTGTGGCCACCCCCTTCCCTCCCACCGGCCAGCACACAACCGCCCCCCCACAATCCAGCCACAGACACAGCAGCTCTTCAAGTCTCATTTTATTCTGACAAAGGTCAGGGGTGGGGCTCCCAGCGGACAGGCTGCCTGGTCAGTGGCCCCAGGCTCTGGGCAGGGAGCTGTCGTACCTCCCCTGGGCACGGCCTGCCGGGTGCAGGGGCTGAATTCACAGGAGGACGCCTCGGCCCGCCCCGCCCTGTTCCCTCTCTGAGAGGTGGGGCGTCCTCCCAGGAGAGGGGTGCAGTGCAGAGTGGGGAGGGGGGGCTGTCACAGCTCCTTCTTGCAGGAACCTGCGGGAGGGTGAGGGCCGAGGTCAGAGGTCACTGCTCCCACCGCGGCCAGGCCAGCCCCATGTGCCCCTCCCTCGGCCTGTGGGCACAGACTGGGCCCGCGCAGGGCAGCTCAGGCTCCCGGGGCGCTGTGGGTGGGGAGTAGGGAGGGGGGGCTCAGGCACTCACAGGACCCCAGCTGCTCCTCCAGGAAGGAGACCTGCTCGCTCAGGGAGTCGATGCGGTCCAGCTGCTGGAAGGAGTGGGCCAGGAAGCTGCCGGGGTCGCGGAGCCCGTGGTCCAGCGCCCGCGAGGCCAGGCTGTGCAGGGGGCCCAGCACCAGCTGCAGCTTCTGCGGGGTCAGGGCGGGGGTCAGGGTGGAGGCGGGGTCAGGGCGGGGGGCCCACAGGCCTTAGGAAAACTGCTGAGCCCACCAAGGGCTCTGCTGGCCCCGGCCCCAGCCGCAGCTCTAGCTGCAGGGCCCCTGGCGGCCACCAGGGGGAGCGACTGCGCCAGGGGAGCCAGAAGCCCGTGGGCACAGCCAGGCCAGCGGGGCCCAGGTCCCTGAGGACGGGAGCGTCTCGGGTGTCAGGCCGATGGCCGGAGGGAAGGCCCACAGGACACTGTCCCCCCCAGGGGCAAAGGCGCGTGAGCAGGACCTGGGTTCAGGTTCTCTGTGGCCTGAAGGGATGGGGCTGAGCTCTCGGCCCCTCATGTGGGGTCCCAGTCCTCTCCCGTTGCCCCGTCCGGCAAGGAACCCAGGTCCAGGGGCCCCCTGGGCTGTCAGTATCGGGGTGCCTCCCCAGTGAACAGAGCTGACAGACCACAGCCCCAGCCCCAGCCCCGCCAGCCTCACCTGCTCCAGCACGTCCACCCGCGACCGCAGCCTCTGGACCTCCTCCTGCACCTCCCTGTCCACTCCTGGGGAGACGCAGGGCTGAGTCGGGGCCCCTGCCCAGGTGTGGTGAGCCCCTCCCCTCGGCTGGGTTCCCACCGTCCCCCAGGGCCGGCCTGGAGGTCTGGGGTGGCCCTGGGCAGACAACCCCACCCGCCAGCCCCTTGGTGCAGGTCCCCGCCGAGTCCGTGACGCGCTCCTGGTGCCGGGCTGCCGACGGCGCATTATTACTCACGGTACGAGTTTGAAGTGTCACAGCGCGTACCAAAAGTAATAATGGCCCGTCGCCAGCGAGTGCGGTCTCCTGGCGGCCCCGGCGGGCGGGCCTTCCTCCTCTCGGCCAAGACGCTCCCCAGCAACCCTCCCCCAGAGCCCAGAGCAACCACCACCAGCCCCTCCTGCCCGGCCCCCCAGTGAGCAGCAAGGGGGGGCAGGTGGGCAGTTTACCTCTGGTGGGGTTCGGGGCCACCCTGTCCGCAGAGGGGCCGTGCCCCTCCCAACACTGGCACCAGTAGCTCCCCGCCGTGTTGACACACCGCTGGGCACAGCCGCCCCCTCCGGCACTGCACTCATCCACGTCTGTGGGAAAGGGGTGTCAGGCAGGGGCCACCCCAAGGGCCCTCCCCGTGGGGGACCAGCCTCACCTGTCTGACAGCTGCCTCCCTGCCACCCAGCCGGGCAGTGGCAGCGTCCGGGCCGGACACAGCTCCCTCCGTTTTGGCACGGCGGCTGGCATATTGCTGTGGGGTGGGGGGGCTGTCACTCATTCAGAGAGTCCCCGGGCCCCGGGGAGTGAGTGGCAGCTGGAAGGGGTGTCGTGCAGCAAAGAGGCGGGGGGCTCGGGGTTTGAGAGGAGAGCAGGGGCTGTGCCGGGGCGGGGACAGTGGCTGCCTCACCGGCCACGGTTCTCGCCAAGGCACGGGCGGGGCTCACCTGCTCCACAGGCCCCGGGGAGCCCGCGGGTCCTCTGCCAGCCGGGGCAGCAGGCGTAGCGTGGCCTGGCGGGGGCTGGCCCGGGGCTGCGGCGGTAGGCGGTCTTGTAGATGGTTCTGGGGGCAGGGGGGGAGGAGCAGCTCAGAGGGGCCCCACCCTCACGGGGTCCTGGGGTCAGGTCAGGCTTCCCCCAGACGCCTGTAGGCGCCCCCACCCCAGGCCCCTGCCTTCCTGGTCTAAGCCTCTGAAGCCACACCACAGTCTCCCCGAGTGGACAAGGCCACCTGCTGGGTCCCCAGAGCTGCTCCTCCCCAGGGACAGCGGTTAGGGGCTCCTCACAGCCATGGCCCGCCCTGTGCTGCGGGGCTGAGCGGGACTCGGGCGGCAGGAAGCTGGCACAGGGTGGGGGCAGCCCCGGGGTCCCCGAGGTCAGTGCAGAACCCGCTGGTCTCTCCGGCTTGCTGAGGGTGCTCCCTGCCCCCTTGCGGCCCACCTGCCTCGAGGGAACCTCTGAGCTGGGACCTGAGCGCGGCCTGGAGCGGGGCTGTAAGTACAGAGCCCTGGCACCCAGGCCCGGCCAGCAGCTGGGGAGGACCGAGCCGCGCCCGGGGACGAGGACTCTGCCCTCACTGGGCTCAGGGCCCCGGGGCTCAGAGAGCCCGACAGAATACGAGATGTTTTTAAGGCGCCTCTCCAACCCCGAGAACTGGGGATGCGCGCCCCTCGCAGGGCCACAGGCGGAGGGACGGCCTGGTGGGGGCAGATGTGCCCTCCAGCGGTGACCGCGGGGCTGCCAGGGAGAGGGGTGCCCACGGGAGCCCTGAGGGCAGGACCTGGGCAACGGAGGTGGCATCACCCCAGGGACAGAACCTGAAGCCAGTGGTGCCAGGGTGGGGGTGGGATTTTCACCCCAACATGGAGGGAGGCACACAGGATGGGGACCCCTCTAAAAACGAGGGGGGGAGAGGTGAGCGAGGCCTGATGTTTGAGGGCACCACGGCACCCTCACCCCACGCTCGGCAGGTCAGTCCGCCACCCGCTCTGCGTGGCCTCGGGGAGCCCTTCTGCTGCCCTGGCCCGGCTTCCGGCTCGGGGTGAACAGCCCCCCCCCCCCCCGCCAGGCGAACACGCGGCAGTGGGCACTCACCGGTAAGTGCTGCAGACTCGGTGCCCGCCGCAGGTGGTGAGGAAGGGCTGGTACACGCGCTGCACGAAGGACTCGGTCACGGGGCCCTGGGGAACCCCAACGGCACACACCCGGCGGCTGGAAGGGGGGCGGTGAGTCAGCGGGGGCTCTCGGAGCCGGGACCCTCCCAGCTCTGGGACCCCAAGAACCTGGGGAGGGGGCTGCGGGGGGGCTCACCCAGGCCTGTACACAAGCTCCGTGCCGCCCGCCGCCAGCACCAGGGCCCACAGCAGCAGCAGCTCCCGGCAGCCCCCCATGGCCCGCGCCTGCAGGCGGGACGGCCTTCTCCTCAGGGTGGCCTGTGGCACAAGGCGCGGCCCTGAGTCCTGTGCAGACTCCCCGGCACCCCAGCTCCTCCCCAAAGCCCCTCACCGCCACCCACAGCCCCCCGCCCCGGACCCACAAGGGATGGCTGGAGCCGGACGGAGCCAGCGCCCTCGTTCGGGGCCGGAGGCACCTGACCCCGCAGGCCTCGTGCTGGACGGATCGAGGCTCCGGGGCAGGCGCTGGGGCAGGTGGGCACCTAGGGCCCCTCCCCGCAGGGTGCAGCCTCGTGGCCATGGCAGGGCAGGGGAGCGCCTGCACCCCAGTCCCAGCCCGCAGATGGGGGTTAGTGGGCAGAGCTGGACCCCAGCCCAGCTGGCCTGGGCCTCCTGGCCTCAGCGTCCCCCCGGGGAACCGGCCACGGGCAGTGGGAGTCCACCCAGGGTGTGGGCACTGGGCACACAGAGGCTCTGGCCTCAGAGGGGGTAGGGGCTGCATTTAGGGGGCTCACAGACTGGAGTACCGTGCAAACAGCCCCCAGGCTCCCAGACAGCGCCCCGGGGCACCCCGGCCGGGACTGACGCACCCCCCTATGCCAGTGGATTAAGGCCACGGCTCTCCTGTTGGGGACGGGAGCCAGGAGGCCCCGCAGGACTCCTGGGAATGTGAGAAGCCGCCCGGAATTAATGGTCTGCAACCCAGGGGCTGGAGGGCGTCTGCACAGTGGGGGCAGGGAGGGGCTCTGCATCTGTGCAGCCAGGGCCTGGGGAGCCGGGGAGCCGGGGAGCCGGGGAGCTCGGGGCTCCTGCGTTCCGGGGGCTACCCGAGGCCCCCCAAGGCCCGGAGTCCCCCCTGCCAGCCCCCAGAAGGAAAGGCCGGGCCCTTCTCGGGGCTGTTTCCGCAAGGACACCCTGGGTCTGGGCCCTCCGTGGCTCTGCGGTCAGTCCCATAAGCGGTGACCACGTGAGCAGCTTCGAGCCCTCCCGCGCACCAGCGGGCTGAGGGGGGCGGTGCCGTGTTCCTCCGCGCGGTCACTCGGCTGGGAGCTCGCTCCTCGCTCTTGCCCACCCGGGCGGAAAGGCAGCTGGGGGAGGGTCCCCCCTGCACCCCCTCTTCTCTGTCGCCAGGCCCGGGGCGGCGGAGGTGTCAGGACTTGGTGTGGGGGCAGCGCCGTGAGGGGCAGGCCTCGGGCACAGGTGGCCTGGGGCGCAGGCGGGGAAGGCAGCGGTGGCTGGGCAGGGCAGGGCAGGGCCATGCCAGGGTTCGAGAGACCCTGGGCCCATCTCCCCGGACGTCCCTGCCCTGCGAGCAGACGCCCCCCTATTCCAGCTGGTTAGCGAGGCCGTGTTTTAGGAAACAGAGTTTCTGAAAGTCATGCCGCCCAGTGTGTGCGGGGCTGGCAGAAGCTCATTCCCCTTTGGGGCTGCAGCCCTGCGGGGCGGCGGCAGGGCAGGGGGCCAAGCCTCCAGGTCCCTAAGCAACAGGGTCCCGTCCCCCCAGTGTCAGCCTGAGCCCTGCCCGCCGCCGGCCTCCCCGCGCCTGGCCCGCACCCCGGAGCCGCCAGCCGGGAGGGAAGCGGGGTTCAGAGGGCGCGGCTGGCTCCCGCAGGGATGGTCCTGGGTCGCCCCTGGCACCGGAGGGGCGCTCGGCACTTCCGGACCCAAGGGAGACGGAGCGAGCCCAGACGAACCCCCTGGGATGCGCCCCTCCACCGCCGCCCCCGCCTCCTGCTCCCTGTGCCGGCTTCGCGACGGTGGGGGTGCGAGCGGAGTGACCCCCCCGGGCTTCGGGGTGCGGGCTGCGGCGCCCGCCACCAGCAGGGGGCGCCCGTTCCCGCGGCCGCTGGGCCCATTCTGCAGACCGAGCCGCCGGCCGGCCGGTGGGAGGCGGGTCCCCGCGGTGGCTCCCGGCGCCCCCCGCCCGCGCCCCCTCGGCTCCCCGCCGTCGCTAGCCTCGCCCCGCAGCGTCGCACGCGGCCAGGTCCCCGACCTCCCCCGCCCCCGCCCAAGCGGCGCGCGCCCGCGGCCCCGGCGCCCCCCCCCCCCCCCCCCCCGCGCACCCCGGCCCGGCGCCCCGCTCCCTCCGCACTCACCGCCCGATCCAGGCGCGCACGCGCCGCCGCTGCCACCACCGCGCGGAGGGCCCCCGGCCCCGCCCCGGCCCCGCCCCGCCTGGCCCGCCCCGCCCCGCGCCGCCCCGCGGGGGGCTCCGCGCCCCGCCAGCCCCATTGCGCAGATGGGGAAACTGAGGCCCCGCAGCGCCGGTGCCCCCGCCGGGCAGTGAGTCAGCTGCAGCCGCGGCTCCTGGCGCACAGCGGCCTCCGAGCGCCGCCGCCCCTCCCGCCGCTCTAGTCCGGCCGCGGGGCGCGGGGCGCGGGGCGCGGGGCGCGGGGCGCGGGGCTGAGACGCTGGTCGGGCACCTGGAGGCCGCGTGGGGCCACACTGGCCACTGGCTCACGGCGACACCCCCCACCAGGCTGAGCGCCCCCCTGACCGGAGGCCAGGCCCCTAGCTAAGCCGAGGGCGCTCACATGACCCCCGAGGCCCGGGGACCCTTTATTCCCTCCAGGTCACGCTGGGCCCCGTGTGACCTGGAGCTTCAGCCCCTGCAGGGGGCCGAGTCAGCACCCCTTTGTTCAGGACACTCGGCCACCTCGGAGTGCCCCTCAGGCCCCGGGGAGCACCCCCAACCCCAGCCACCACTGGGGCCTCCGGGGCGGGTCCCCTCTCCTTGGCTCCATGTCCACATTTGCCAGAGCGGCCAGGAGCAGGGAGCCCAGCGAGGGACAGTGGCCGCACAGCGGGCACCAGGCGGGGCGCCCTCCGGGGAACTGGGTGGCTTTGGTCCTGTCTGTGCCGGGGCCCTGGCGCTGCCCCTCGGCTGCGATTTCTGTCCTCAGACTTGATTGCCCCCCCAACCCCCCAGCCCGCCCCCTCGCGCCCAGAGCCCCTGGCTGCTGTGGGACTCACCTGGAGAAGGGGGCTCCGTCATGCCCCAGACGCTGGCGGGTGCTCTCCTGGGTGATGGGGGCCCCCCTGGCCTCCCCCGCGCTGGGCTCTGCGGGGCAGACAGTGTGGGTGAGCGACAGCCTTGGTCACCCTGAAGGGGGACAGGGGTCAGCTCAGAAGCCACTGGGACCTCCGCCCCCGCCCATGGTGGCCCACGCTGAGTGGGACTCCCAGGTCTTCGGGTCAGTCCCATAAGCAGTGACCCTGGAGGCCAGCAGAGTTTCCCGTCTGGGGCATGGCCTGTTGGCTCCTGCCCTGGGTCCCCGATGGAAGCGGGGTGCGCAGGCAGCCCAGCGTTTCCCGGCAAAGCCCGGGTGTGGAGAGGGTCCAGCACCCCCCAGGGAGGGAGGGTCGTCCTGCAGGGCCAGCAGCTGCCGGACGCCTGGCTCGGGCCTCCTTTGGGGCCTGGGAGCTGACGGGAGTGCGGGGACCCAGATTGCTGGACAGGAGTCCCCAGAAAGCGGCCGCTTCGTCCTGCCCCTCAGGGGCTACCGCCTTGGACCAGGGGGGCCTGGGACCCCTGGCAGCCGGTCGGAGGGACAGCGGCCGCTGCGAGTCCTCCTCTGGGCCCTAGGTCTCCTGGCCCCAAATCCAATCAGGGGAGCCCTCGTCCAGCCGCAGGCAGGAAAGAGTTAAGAGCTAGACCTAGGCGGCCCTGTCCCCTGCCCCCATCCTGTCCCTGAAGCTGCGGTCACTTGACCCTTTGACTCCTGCCTGAGCAGAAGGGCCGCCTGGGGAGCTGGGTCAGCTTGTCCTCTCTCGGCCTCACCTCCCGCTTCCCCATCTGAGACATGGGCGGCCCTCAGCCGGTCAGACCGCTGGTGGGGACGCCAGGCTGCCGGCGGCCAGGGCCCAGCTCGGGGCTTTGGGTGGGACTTGAGCCCTCTGGGTGGGGCCGGGAGGGGGAAACCAGGACCTGCCCTATGGTCCCAGGTGGGCAGGCAGAGTGCCCACACCCCAGGCACCAGGCCGTCCCTCTGCCTGTGGACCCCGAGGCCAGGCCAGCGGGCTCCGTGTCCCCAGCGTGCACACCTCATCCCGGCTGCAGGTTTGGCTTTGGGGTTCCCGTCCCCCCTCCACCGGGAGTGCTCGCCCAGCCTTGGGGTCTGAGGTGAGCGGGGCCTCTCTGAAGGCAGGGTGCGGCCGGGAGGGCAGCCGGCTGCCCCCACCTGCTCCTTCCAGGCCACCCACCGTGGGCGCCCTCGCCTGCGCCCGAGGGTCCTCTGCAGTGGGACGCACAATCGGGAGGACCAGGAGATGGTGCCGGAGTGGAGTCGGGGTGCAGCGAGCTCAGCCAACAGGTGCGGGGCCCGGGGGGGCCTCGGGGTGCTCACCCCACGGTGCCTGCCTCCTGCCCCTCCACGGCCGCTCCCTCCATACCTGACGCTGCCCAGGCCCCCGCTGGGCCATGGCCACCACCGCTGCCTCCGTGGGCCCGGGGCGGACCCTAGCCCTTGCCGGCCGCCCCGGCCCCGTGGCACCTGCCGAGGCCGCCCGCCCGCCCGGCCCTGCATGCTGCACAGCGGCTCCCGCGGAGGCGCCTCCCGGGCGGGGAAGGGCGGCTTTTTATGCTCCCTCCCGAGCCAGTCGGGATTGGGATGGGCCCTTCCCGGCCGGACTTCCTGTGTGTGTTCTCCGCTGATAAGGGGTCTGCCGGCACACAAACAGGAGGCCGGGCCATGGGGGGCCGTGGGGGGAGGGGCCTGGCCGGGCTTGGGGCTTGGGGAGGGGAGGCGGGCCGGTCCCCGGGGCTTCGAGTCTAGCCCTGAAGCAGCCGGGCCGGTGACCCTGGGCCCAGCTGGCCCCACGTGTGAGGGAGGACGTGGCTGGCGCCAGGCCCTGCTCAGAGCCGTGGGCCCACCAGGCTGTGGGACCACAAGCCACGTTAGTGGACCCCACAGGAGGGGCCTTGGTTCTGTGACTCTGACTCGCCCAGGGCACGCAGCAGCCCCCCGATGTGTGTGGGAGCCAGGGGGGTGAGAGCCCAGCACGAGAGGCCCGGGATGGGCCCGGAGGCTGGTGGTCTGAGAACGGCGGTTTGGGGGCCCCTGGAGCCCAGAGTGGCCGTGGAGGCGGGGCCTCCCCTCGGAATCGGGCTGTCTCCCCCAGGGAGGGTGCCCCTGGAGTGGACAGCCCCCTGCCCCTGTGGGGGTGCCCACCAGCCCCTGGCTCCCCTGCCCCGGCCTCCAGCAGGCTGAGGGGTGCCTTTAGGGTGCTTCCTCAGGGAGGGGACAGGCTCCTCGTTAGGGGACCCCAGGCCTGCAGGCTGAGCATCGGGGACCGCAGTGCTGGGTCCCAGGTGACCAGGGAGTGGGCAGCTGTGGGGACCTGCCCGGCCACACAGTGGGCCGAGGGCCTTGGGAGCTGCGGCCACGCGAAGCATGGAGCCCTGCGCTGAGCCCGGCCTTGACCCCTCCCTGGCCCGCCCCTCCCTCCGGCCCCCCACCCCTGATGTCCTGGCCGAGGGGGAGGCGGGAACAGTTAGGGAAATTCCCCACCGGATCGCTGAGGGCAGGAGGGGTCCCCACGGCCTGCAGGGACCTGCTCCCCCCCCCCCCCCCAGGCCGGAAGCGTGTCCGTGGCGGCAGGGCCGGCAGGGCCAGGGCTTTCCCTGGGTCTCAGTTTCCCCGCCCGTTCCCCGGGGGGGGGGGGGGGGCCGCCGCCGGGCTGTGTGGCTCAGGTTCCTGGGGCTCAGGTGTGGCTGGTCTGAGGGGTGAGGGGCCCGGGGCTTCCGTGCTGAGGGGCCCCCCTCTCTGCCCTCCAGCCCGCGGTGGCCACACTCCAGCCACCCTTCCGCCTTGCTCAGGCCCCTGTGCTCTCCCCCCGGAGGGCCCGTTTGCCCAGGGGGCTGGGGCCGTGGTCGTCAAACTCATCAGTCCACAGAGCCAAATATCAACAGGACAGCGATTGGAATTTCCTTTGAGAGCCACATTTTTTAAACTTAAACTATATTGGTAGGTACATTGTTATTCACCTAATTAGGGTCCTCCTAAGGCTTAGGAAGAGCCACACTCAAGGGGCCAATGAGCCGCATGTGGCTCTCGAGCCGCAGTTTGCCGACCAGGGGCTGGGGGGTCCGCCGAGGGTACTTGCCAGAGAGTAGGGCCAAGAGGGCTCCGCCCCCTCCCAGGAGGTGCCCACACCCCCCAGCCCCCAGCCCCCCGGGTGGACCCCGCAGACACCAGGCCTGGCTGGACCCATCCCCTTCTGTGTACAGACGGGGAAACTGAGGCCCAGAGAGGGGAGGGATCGGCCCGGCGAGCGGGAAGGGGAGCTGGCGGCGGGCCGGGGCGAGAGCAGCCCTTCCCTCTGCCTCTCCCAGCGGCGCCAGGGCCTCCTGTGTCCCCCTCAGACCTGGCCCCACCAGGGACGGCCTGCGACCCGGACAGCTGTGTGGGCAGGGAAATGGGTCGCCCCTCCCTCGAAAGCAGGGGCATGTGAGGGAACTTTCTGGAAAGACGCCAGGTTGCCGAGTGAAGCCAGGTGCGGGGGGTTGGCGGGGGGAGGCAGGGTCCTGGGTCCTGTGGGGTCAGTCTCAGCGCTGACTCCTGGGTGCCAGCCCTGCCTGCTGCCCACTGGTTCTGGGGTCCCCGCTGCCCCTGACCCCAGCCCCTCCAGGACCAAGACCAGAACCAATCCAAGGAAGGGCCTTGGCTCAGCACCCCCTCCCCCCTCCCCACCACCAGCCTCATCCTGCCCGTCGCCAAAATCCCACCTGGGGGCCACTCTCAGGGCCTGGAGCCCCAGTGGCACGTGCGGAGGTGGCTGGGCCCCGCCTCTGTCCAGGGAACAGGCAGGGGCGCCCGGGGGTGAGATCAGGGAGGGCCGGGGGCTCTGTCTGTCCCCTCAGATGCAGCAGAGCCCCAGGGGCCTGGAGCCGAGGAGGGCACTTGGCACCCATGGCGCCTCGGGCACTGGAATGCTGGGCTCACGCTGAGCTCTGGGCTGCAGGGGCTCATCCTGGGCAGGCCAGGGCCCCCGCCCGCCTCTCACGGCCTGGAAAACACCCCTGCCCTGCCCGCAGGGCGTCCGTCCCAGGCCTCCGTCCCCGAGGGCACAGCATGGCCCACCCCGCAGGCCCAGCACAGAGGTGGCCACCGGTGGGATCGTGGGATCGGTCAGTGACCTCCAGGGGACCCAGGCTGTCCACACTGGGTGGCTGAGACCTGGCCTGGAGCCCGCCAGCCTCAGGGGGCACCCGAGGGGGGGCCTCAGCTCCCCGGCTGCCGAGGCCCCGTGATCGGAAGGGGTCACGCTGCCTTACCTTCCCCCAGCGCGCTGCTCAGGTGGTGGGCGTGGCGGGGTCAGCAGGGCCTCCGGGGCCTCCTGGGACCCTCCTGGGCCCCCTCACCGCCCAGCATTTGGCCTCTGCTGCCCCGGAGAGGACGGACCGAGCCCCCGGCAGGGCCAGGGACCAGCGCGGGCGCATGTGAGCTGCCGCGGGAGGAGAGAGCGAGCGCAGAGCCGGAGCGATGAGCTTCCTGTTTATCTCCCAGCACCGCTGGGCGCAGGGCAGGGTGGCCGGCCAGCTTCCCGCCAGGTGCGCCGAACCTGCCCCGCGGCTGGAAGGGCGGCGGCTGGGCTCCCGCACCCCGGGGCCCCTGAGCTGTCTGCACCTGAGTGGGGCCAGGCCCTGAAGGGAACAGGTTGGGTAGGGAGCATGGGGTCTGTCCTTCCCTCCCCTCTCCCACTCCCCGCCCATGCCTGCCTGGCACATCAGCTAGAAGTGCCCTGTGCCGGGCGCCCTCCTCAGCGCTCACGGACACCTGGGGTTGAGCATCGCCCGTGTACCCGCGGCTCACAGGGAAGACGCCAGGTGGTCAGCAGACCCGGGGGTCCCGCACCTCCCTGCTCCCCTGGCCTCCCTGCCCGGGACCCCCCATGGAGGCCCAGGACCCACCATTTGCCCGTCCTGGTTCCCAGCAGGTCCCCGTGGGTCGGCCTCCAGAACACATCCCTCTGGCCATTGCCCCAGCCTGGTCCAGGCCACCACGCTCCCCTCCAGGATGGCGTCCTCCTCAGCTTGGTGGGCCCCGGCCCCGCCCCAGCGGTCAGGGAGCCTGTGAAGGGGGACATCCCCACAGCACTGGGACCAAGTCTGACCCCTTGCCCTGCACCCCCAGCACCAGGTCCACGGAGGGGGGAGGAGCTCGTCTTGCTCGCTGCTGCCCGCCCTGTCGGGGGGACCCAGACAACCCCCTGCCAGTGCACACAGGGCAGTGGGAGCCCTGCAGGTGCCCCCACCCCGGCGGCCTGCAGACGGGCATTGCAGACAAGACTCCGCAGGACCGCAGTCCCAGGAGAGGCGCGGAGCTGGCACTGCCCAGCGTGTGGGAAGGCCCACCGCCCACTCCCTCGCCAACACTTGCTATGGTCCGTCTCATCCTTTTAGCCACTCTGAGGATCTTGCGGTGGCTGTCGCGTGATTATTTCTTTATTTTTTGAACCCACAGGTTTCCTCCTGGGAAAAGATTCCTAGGAGGCACCGGGTGGGGGTGAGGGTGGGGGTGAGGGTGGGCTGGGGCCCCCGGGGAGCGGGGCAGCCGCCAGGGGCCGGGTCCCGGCTTCGCTTGGGAGCAGTGTGAGCTGCAGGCACTGGGAGGGTCGGGCAGGGCCATTTGGACGTGTGCCGTGTCAGTCTCGGGCCACACAAAATGATCCGCTTAAAAACTAGCTGCTCTGTTCGCTTAGACGTGTCATTAACTCCCCGGGTGCCTTGGCAGGGCCAGACCAGCTGGCTTCGCGGCCCTACGGCCTCAGGCCGGGCCTTCCCACCGCTGGTCCAGGGCCGGGGCGCGTCTGGGGGTGCAGAGAGAGGAGGCCGCCTGCTGGGCCTGAGCCCGGGGCCCGGCTGTGATTTCTGCTGCGGGTGCCCAGCGTGCGCCTGGCTCCCGGGGCCCCTGAAACGCCTGTCGCCACAGCTGTTGGCCAGGCCGGGGTCACAGTGCTGACTGCGGCCACGTGGTGGGCATCTGGGTGGCCGCCCACTCCCGCCGGGGTCTTGCTGAGCGGGGAGAGTCCCGCTACTGAGTCCGAGACCCACCGGTGCTGTGGCCAGACCCGCGAGGGTCCCCCAGCCCCCCCCCTCACCCCCTCCCTGCTCATCCCGGTGCCCGGCTCCCTCCCACTCAGGCTCCCTCAGGCCAAGGAGGCCGTGCCCCCCCCCAGCTTCCCCTCATGTGAGGGCTGAGGAAGGGGGGCTGCCCTCCCCCTGGCACCCTGCGCGGAAGCCCCCCTCAAGTCCAGCTGCAGTTGCTAAGCTGGGCGGATGGGGCAGCCGTTAAGGTGGAAAAAACACTTTATCTCCCGGGGACGGAAAAGGAAGTCCCCGTGAACGGGGGTGAGGGGAGGCTCACGGAGGGGTCCGGGCTCAGCAGCCCTCTGCTCCCGCCCCCGCTGGGCCATCCTGTCCCCTCTCCTCCCTGCCCCCCG